ATCCAGTCTGAAGAGAGCTACCAAAGGATGCTTTTGCCATTCAGGAAATGTAGGGCGGAAGGCCTACTCAAGACCATACCGGTATTTTGTTTTTCCTGTAGGTGTTTTAAAATTCTATCTAACTCTCACAAGGACGTAAGACCACTCGGGAAAACCAATGCAGCCCTACAAATGTTGAATTTCGATGGCTGGGCCATTCTGAAGCTTGGTACAGGTTACGGACTTTTTGGCATAAGCAAGATAGTGAATTCAAGCAAAACAGATATGAAGATGGGGAGGAGGGATGCTTTTCTGCTTTCCAAGTGCTTATGATGCAGGATTGCCCAACAGTGCTAAAAATCCTTCAAAATACAGGGTGTTCCATTTCTATTGGAAACGCGAAGCCAAACTCGTGCGTTAAAAAATAAAATGAAGAACAAAACCTATGAGCAGAGGCAAAAAAAAACCACTTTTCGCCATGTTGAGAATTATTGTCTCATCCCCACCAATCTAAGAAAATAATCTGTCATCAAATCATTGATTGATTTGATTACAGATCTGTTTGGGGGGGGGATTTCTTAGATGAACTCAGTGGTGCCATTTGAGAGCTCAGTAACAAATTAAAATTGATGTGTGGACTGGGCTGAATGGAGACCCTGTGTCCCACAGGCCAAAGATCATCACGAGTCAACAAGAAAGGTAACAGTTGGTTCTTTTGCAAGATGCCCTATAAGTCTGAAATCAGCGATCAATTACACTCCTTTCTAAGGATCACCGCTCTTTATAGCCCGTCCAATGTAGCTGAACACTTTCTCTTACTTGGGAAATGTAGCTCTTATGAAAAAGCTGACCGAGAAATACTTGAAGCCATTTTCTTCCCTTACTGGTTAACTTTGAAATTATCCTTCTTACAGATTAGCTATCGATGCTACAATAAATAACATTTCCTCAACTGGACTGTTAAGTAGCTGAGGAAGGAATGTCCAAAACTAAAACCTTAGAGGAAATGGTTACAGATTACCTACCTATTGGCTACCTACATTTGCCAATCACAAATAAAGTCTTTATGTCTGATAGAATATTTGTAGCTCAGGATTGAACCGTGGGGTCCTTGGTGCTCTCTGAGCTTGGTTTGTTTTCTTGTAGATGTTTCATAACTCAACTAGGTAACTTTATCAGTGCTAGCCTTTACATCTTCGGGTTCACTTCTTTCAATAATGTGGCTGGAGGATGACAACTAATATTTAATGTAGTATCCTCAGCAACTAATTATGGTTTTTTTCTCTATAGTGTGTTCATGCTTGGTATTTTTCTCCTATTTCCACTACCAACAGTGCCAGAGACTTTGTTAATGGGCTCTGCAAGAAATTTATTCTCAATCCTAATTACAGGATTGGCAGCCTAATCTGGGACAAAAAGTGCCATTTCTATACCTCTGGCGTACTGGGAGATCGCTAGAAACCACGATTTAGGAAGAATTGGTGCAAAGAAAAGTTAAAGAGGACTGTTTAAGAACATGGGTAAGAAAAGGAAAGTGTGACTGAGGTCTTTTCAATGTTTTAAGGGAGCTGATTGTACTTTTTAAAAGTGTATCTTGTTTCCAGGAAAAGTAGAAACGCATCCCTTGGTTTTCTCAGTCCAACTTCAGCCATGGAGTGGGCCTGAGCAACTCATTTTTTGACTTTCAATTTTTCTTGAAAGATGGAAGAATGGCTGTAAAAATAACAACGCAAACGATAGTGAAAACTACAAATATATATATATATATATATACCGTTTCCAGAATGACAGGTATCCCTTTGACTAATACCTGTCTTATTTTTGGCTGACAAGATAAATACATTGTTTTCGAAGAACGATTAAGAAATCAAGAACTCTCAGAGAGTATTTCAAAGAGAGCTACGGAAAACGGACAATTATTCTTGGATACATTTTCAACATTATTGTTATGAAGGAAATAAACAGATGCACAACTGTAGCTGAAATTGTAACAATGGGCACTCCTAGTTGTTTGGAACAAGCCTTGAGGAGACAAGAGAAAATGGTTTTCTCTGGAAGCAAAGTGAAAAGAGGCAAAAGACAGAATCTCTTCCTCAGGGATGTCAGAAGAAAATGGAAGCTTAACCTCAACAATTTTTTGACCATTTCCTGATCAGTAGATGAGCCAAAGGAACGGGCTTCTACATCCTGTTCCAAAAATGAAGGATAAATTGTCAGTTCAGATTCCATTTTCTCTTACTGCACAAGTCCAGAGCTTTAAAGATATTGAAAGCACTACCAGACAATTGTTTTATTTTGGTTCTTTGGGGAAAGTGGCCAACGGGCAGCACTGCAGCACTTGAGATCCGTTTTTATCCAAGGTCTCATTGCAACACAATGTTAAAACTTTGCATAAGAATAAATGTAAAAATGGGCTCCTAGCAGGGAATCCTTTTCTCTCACAAAGAGGAAGCAAACTTTACAGCTGATCTTCAACCAAGGAAACTGAAAGGAATTCACAATACTTAAGGTTGAAGTGCATGACGAGAAGAACAGTTTCCGTTTATGCACATCGAGGAGGTGGGGTCAGCAACAAAAAAATTGGGAGGAGGAACAGAAACTGAAAAACTTTACCAGAAACAAGGCTGAAGCCTTTATGGCCCTGCCAAAAGGAAAAGTAAGGGGAAAGGGGAGCCACAGGATGCTCTAGGTCTCCTTCTCCTTCTTCCCTCTGTTAACTGGATCAGCTGGCTGCCAGAGGAGATGGAGGCCTCGTGCCCCAATGCAGTTACTCTCGGGAAGTGAAGGATGTGGAAAGGAATTGGAAAGCTTTGAAAAATTATCTGATCAGCAGCTCCTTTAAAGCAAGATGGGAGAGATTGTTTGTTCAGGTGCTTGATTGCCATGTAAGGAGAAAACAGACCCCTATCTGGAGATTAATATCTAGGACGGATTTAATTTGACACGATTAAAAAGTCATCCTTATTCAGTTCAGAATTTAGGATAGTGGAAGAGTTAGGGGAAGGGTGAATTCAAGGCAAAAACTACTTTATGATATCAAGAAACTGGACCCTCGCACAGAAGTCAATTATGCTTCCAAGTATGTGTAGGGAGTCTCACTGAAAATGCATTTTATTGTGCACTTCTCTGATAAAGTGTTGTTTAACAAGCACAATGAAAGACCACCTTATGGGTAAAATAAGTCAGAGAAATTATGGATTTAAAAATAGATCAAAGAAATTGTGGATTTTTTTTTATCCGCAAGTCAAGTTTTGTATGAACACAGTAGGGACTCCCTGAAGATATGTGAAGGAAGGAATACATGTTCATTTGTTTGGTTGAGTGGTTTAGGCAGGAGAGTAGAAAGGAGATGGTGAGTTTTAGTCCGAGCTTAGTTGTGAAAGACAGCTAAGTGACTTTGGGTCAATCACCAGGTGATTGTGAAATCTAGTTGCACCTTAGACCTGGAAGGCTTGGTAACGCTGGGACAATCCTTAGGAGACGGTGAGTTCTAGCGCTCTTATGGGTGAAAGCCAGTTGGGTGATGTTGGGCCATTCCCCCTCTCTGAGGCCAACTAACCTCACAGGATGGGGAAAGCATTGGGTACATTTGTTGCCTTGAGTTATTTATAAAAATAAAGGTGGGATATAATAAAAATAAATAAAAGGTGTCAGGATACCTAGAGAGGGCAAAGAAGCCAGAAATGCTTTCCTGATGAATTCTGATGCTCCTCTTCCTGGGATGGCTAGAATTAATTATTATTATTATTATTATTATTGGTTAATCTTTAGTGAGATTCACAGCCTTTAGGACTGGTTGATAGCTCAACAGCTGGAATCCTAACCAAGGACCTAGGAACTGTTCAGGGAGCATCAGAGGATATAAGTTGTTAGAAGTAGGGTGGCTTTTTGTAGAATCAGGGCATTAAAGTCTGACAAATTCAGGATTTCCAAATAGAGAGGTAACCCTTTATGTATTGCTCCAAGGGCTCCAATTACAATTGGGATAATACATGATTTTTTGAGATTATTATTATTATTGATCATCACATAGTCAGCCAGATGTTCAGACTGGGTTTGGCACTTTTGTCTACCTAGAGTCCTTAGCAAGGACCTATGTTCATTACTATGATTGATTAGTATGATTGATTAGTATGATTGATTTATTATTATTATTATTATTATTATTATTATTATTATTATTATTATT